CCGATGTGCTGAAGCTCAAGTGGAAAATCCCTGCTAGGAGGGATGGAGGAGGGCTGGATCCGTGCGCTGCCACTCCCAAGCTGCTTTTGGCCCCGTTTTCCCAGAGCTGGGGCTCACTTGGGTGGAAAAGCAGCAGGATGGAGGTGCTGGAGCATCCTGCAGCAGCTGCACACCTGGCAGGGATCAGGAATTTCCTCCCACCGGCATCAGCAGGGCTGGCACAGCAGGAATTGTGCAGGAAGGGGGTGGGAAGAGATGGGAACAGCAGCCCAGGACATTTTTGTTCAGGGTGGGAGCACCAGAGGGAAGGATGTATTTTAAATGTATTTTAAATAGGAATTCCAGAGGTGGAAGGACTGGATTTCTCTATAATAAATCACCTGTAATGATCTATAAATTATCTGTAATAATTATCTGTGCAACAACCACTTTGCTCTTCCCTTGGGCCTCACTTGTCCATCATCCCCATTCAAATGGACAATTCTTCCTTTACAGACATTTGCCCTCAAAACTCTGGGAATTTAAAAAAAATAGGAGAAATCTGGGCAGTGGGAACCCAGGGAAATGCAAACTCCAACCCCCAATTCCCACTTTTAGGAGTGGAGGTGGGGCTGTGCTTTTCCTGGAGGGTTCCAAAGGAGCCCATCAGGAGCTGTGGCTCCAGCTGCCCATCCTGCCTCGTGCCCATCCCTGCAAGTGCAGGCTCAGCAGCACCAAGAGCCATTTCCAGCCCTGCAGGCTCCTCACTCCATCCCTGGGGTGCTCCAAGGCAGGGCTGCACTCTCCTGGACACAATCCCTGTCCAGAGCTGTGATCCTGGGGGCTCCCATGGACTCATCCACAACGCCCTGGTGTCACATCATGGCCTTCATCTCCCCTTTCCTCCAGCTCTGCAGCTTCCCAGGCTCTGCTCCAGGAGTTCTGTTGGCTTTGGAGGGGCTGCCACAACATCCAGGCTCCATCCCGCCCCTGCCAGCCTGGCCAAGGACTCTGCTCCAGCCATTCCAAACCTTCCTCCCACTCCCAGCACTTTGGAAAGGCCCATGTTAGGACAGGAGGAACAGGGAGGAGCTGAGTCAAGATTTGGCCTCACTGCTGGATCCAAGGGTCTGGACTCTGGGAAGGGGCTTGAGCCTGCAAATGGAACTGATGGCCCTGTTTTTATAGGACAGAGCACAATTTCCTTTTTCTTCTGTTGTCAGGCCTGAGATGCAGCCCCGTTTTATCATCAGGATTCTCCACAGGAAGCAGGAGCTGCAGAGCTCTGATAACATTGGAGGAAACCCTGGAAACATTTAAAGGATTGTTTTAGCCCCAGGCTTTGCCTCAAATAAACCTGCTGAGCCTCTTCCTTACACACAACCCTTCACCACTGACCTTCAAAACAACAACCCCCAACCAGGCTTTTATTCAGGCTTTTATTCAGGCTTTTATTCAGCCTCCAAAGAGCAAACACCATCTTCCTACTGCTCCATCCCCTCCAGAATCAAAGCCTGGAGCTCCCAGGGATCAGCAAAGCCCGGGATGAGGAGCAGAGCCTTTGGGACCTGCTTCCCTGAGAAGAATCAGGGGTGTCAATAAGGGCTGAAGGCAGCAGTGCCCAGTTCCCTGCAGTGAGAGCCAGCTCCCACACTGATGGCTCAGCAAAGCCCACCCAGCCCACAACAAAACCCTTTTTATAAAGCTCCAGCTAAACCCAGCCCAAAGGCAGCAGCTCCTTATTTTGGGAAGGGTGTGTTTGGCAGAGCCAGTGGGTAAAGATGAGCTGTGCCAGGCTGGGCCTTGCTGCAGGCAAACTCAGACCTGCCTTCTAATTACAGACCTTTTAACTAATTACAGGCTGAGCTTGCTGGGCTTGCAAAGGGGCTGATTTTGATGCTTTCTCACCACGTTCAGCTCTGGGTTAAACTTGGCCTATCCAAGGTGGGCAAACTGGTGAGAAGGTGCTGCTCACAAAGCTGAAGTTTCCAGAGTCAGGAGAGCAGGAGGGAAAAATTCCTTTCTGCAAATAAATCAAGACTCAAAACTGCTCAGTTTGGAGGCTGCCTCTCTCCAGAGCAAGGGTTAATCCAGCTCTGGAAGTGACACTGCCACTGAACAGCCACAGAGGGATATCAGAGAACCCCCAGAGATCAGAGGATCTGGAATGGTTTGGGCTGGAGTGACCCCAAACCCCACCCAGTGCCACCCCAGCCATGGCAGGGACAGCTCCCACTGTCCCAGGAGCTCCAGCCCCAGTGTCCAGCCTGGCCTTGGGCACTGCCAGGGATCCAGGGGCAGCCCCAGCTGCTCTGGGCACCTGTGCCAGGGCTTTGCACCATCCCAGCCAGGAATTCCTTCCCAACATCCCATCTGACCCTGCCCTCTGGCACTCTGAAGCCACCAAGACCTAAAAGCTCTTCCACAGCTTTGACTGAATCACCAGCTTGGTCCACGAGGTCACTCAGTGTAAGGAAGCAAAATAACATCAGAGAAGTTGGTTCTGTATCATTAAAATGAGTAATGATGTCCTAATGAACAGCCTGAAGGAAAACTGAAGCACTTGGAAAACCAGGGCAGAGACAAACACTGTCCCTGTGATTCCTGCAATGCTCCCCAGAGGTTCTCAACTATCCCAGTGCCAAATCCCTGGCCACCAGGAGAGAGAAATCCCTTCCCAGCCAGGCAGCTCCAGCATTTCCCCATCCTCCAGGAGCCACTTCTCCCAGTTCCTACTCCAAATCCCCCCTGCTCCGGTTTCAGCTCATTATTTCCCATTCCTAATTGCAAACTGCACTTAAAGCCCACTCAGATGTTCCTAAATGCCCCAAAAGGGGGTTCTGGGAATTCCTCCCCTCCAGCTCGTGCTGCTTGGAATCCATTCCTGTTTTTGGGAGAGAAAATCCCAGGCAGAGGAGCTGCAGCCACACAGCTCCTCCGAGCCTCTCCTCCCCAGACACACAAAGCAAAGCTCGGCTCTGGCTGAGCCTGAGATTAAACTGGGAGCACTGAAGTGGATTTAAAAACAACCCAGGGACTGGAAACCCTCTGGGAAAGGAGCAGTGCTGGGGGTGAGTGCAGGAAGGCAGGGGGCTGTCAGAAACCAGCAGTGTTTAGGAGCACTCCTGGTGATTATCCACTGGCTTGGATGGACAAGGAACCCAATTCCAGCTGGGTCAGACATCCCTGCCCCGAAAGCAGCGTCTGCCAGAGGAGCTGGGCAGGCATGGCCCTGCCTGCCTCCTTCCCAGGACTGCCAGGAGGGGAAAACCTGCTGGTCTCTCACCCATTTCCCAAGGAAAAGGCCCCAAAGAGAGATGCTGAGGGCAGCTCCATCCCATCCCATCCCATCCCATCCCATCCCATCCCATCCCATCCCATCCCATCCCATCCCATCCCATCCCATCCCATGGATCCCATCCCATGGATCCCATCCCATGGATCCCATCCCCACAGTGCTTCCCTGGCTGCCTCAGGCACTTGTGGGGTCACTGCCTGGATACAGCAGGACTTTTAAGCCTTGATTTTTTATCCTAGGCCTTAACCAGCAGGTTTCTTATCCCAAAATTGGAAATAAAAACAAAAAGAATGATCTTGAGTGGGAACACTCTGTCCTTCCTCAAGGACAGGATGCAGAGACCGGAGTCCTCCAGGCTCATCCACAAATCCTGCCCTGGGATGTGACACCAAACCACTCCTGGGAATCACGGAATCACAGCATGGTTTGGGTTGGAAGGGACCTTAAAGCCCATCCCATTCCACCCCTGCCATGGACAGGCACCTTCCACCACCCCAGGGTGCTCCCAGCCCCGTCCAACCCACCCTTGGACACTCCCAGGGATAGGGAATTCCAGAACCATCCACAGGGATGCACCACAGCAGCCCCCAGACCTCACACTTGTCCCTCCTGCTGCTGGAACAGGACAGAGCTCCCACATCCTTCCCAATGATGGACATTCCCGATATTCCCGATATTCCCGAGCCAGGGGAGCAGCTCCTGCCTGTCCCAGTGTCCCCAGCTCTGCAGCCCCAAGGTCACCACGAGCATCACACCTTCCTGTGGAAAGCAGGAATTCTGGGGCTGGTTCTGGAGCCAGGCTGAGGGATGTGCTCATCCCTTTACGAGTTAAATCCATGTGGGAGACAGGTTATGTGGAATAAACCAGGAGTGCCCTCCTCATTACAGGAGGCTCAGACTGAACTCAAATCCTTCTGCTTCATAAATTAGGTTAAAGTCAGCCCAGATCAGAAAATCTCTCTGATAAAGCAAGGCTGCAGACTGAAGCAGCTCCGAGTGCTGGTTGTTTTCCCTGGCTGATTTTAACCCCATTTCCTGCCTCTCACTGACAACACCCTCGACCTCTGGACTGCCAGCTCAGCTCCAGGGGCTCCAGGGATGACAAATTCCTCTCAGGAACAGCACAAACACCACAAAAACCCGAGGATTTGGAGGGATGAATCATCACACAAAGCAAGAACAGTTAGAGATTGATAACTGGGAGAAGGGGAGGCTGGGTGGGATGGGAAGAGCAAAGAGCAGGGCTGGGATTAATTACTTTGGGAATATTAATGACATCTCATGTAACCAAAGTGCTGCACCCCGACCAGAGCCTGCAGGGGGGTGTGGGGTTCACAACGAGAATGTGATTACACATCCCAATATCCCACACCCCAGCCTGAATGCCAGGGAAGCTTTTTCAGCTCATGAAAGGATAACGATCCTTCCTTTTGAGGCCACAGAACCACTTGGTGTGACCACACTGAGCCTCATCCCTGCTGAGGGAAACCTCTCCATGGAGGGGATCCCTCCCTTCCCCGAGGGGAAAACACACAGGTGGTTCCTGGCAGAAGCCAGGAGAGGATCCAGGAAAATCCCCTTCCCTTGGAGACATTTAACAGCAAGGAAGGATTTTCCCTGCTCTGACCTTGCCTGAGCACTCCCAGGAGCATCCAGGAGCTCCGACCGGGGGAATTTGGGGCAGGAATCAGCAGCCTGGACCTCCACACCCCCTTGCACTGACCTGGCTTTCTGGGGTGACTCTTTGGGCTCCTTGGACCCAAACCAGCCGCTGTTCTTACTGCCGTCATCCCCCGCAGCCGAGGCGTGGACGGGGGTCCCTCTGTCCCCCTGGCCTTTGCCCCCCGCGTCGCTCCGGCCGCCCCCGTGGTGGAAGAAGCCTCCCTTGGCCTTCTTGTCCTCCTTCCTGGCGTCCTCGGGCGCTTTGTCCTTGGCCAGCTCCGAGGAGAAGCCCAGAGGAGCCGCGGCCTGCGTGGGTTTGCTCTCCAGGCGGGCGCTCTCCTCCATCCTGGCCCTGCCCAGGTGGTTGCTGAGGGTCACGGCCTTGGTGGACACCTTGAGCTCTTCCTGCAGGGCCAGGCTGGGAGGGGACGGGATGAACCTGGGCTCGTCCCTCTGCTGGGCCCTCTCCAGGCCGCCCCAGGCCGCCTCGCGGGGCTCGGGGTGCAGCGGGGAGAAGGCGAAAGGCTGTTCCTGGCGGCGGGGCGGGGGCGGTGGGGCAGGGCCGGGGGGGTTCCTCGGGGGTTCCTCGCCGTACACGTGGCTGCCGTTGATGCAGAGCGACGAGCGCGACGCGGCGTCGCCCGCGGGCCTCGCGCCCTGCGCGGCTCCGGCCTCCGGGCCCAGCTGGGACACGTCGTCGCTGAACGCTCGCTTGTGGCTCGGCTTCGGGGAGGACAGCAGCTCCTTCACTGCGGGCAGCAAGCACAAAACAGCTCAGGCCATGGTCATCTCCTGCTGTGACCCTGTCCCACCCCAAACCCCTTGTGAAGGGCGGCCCAGGGGTTCTGATTGGGTTTGAGTCCCTGGGGTTTCTCCCTTGTTCTGTTTGTGGTGTGTCAGGGTCAGAGATGCAGGATACAAACTGTCGCCCTGAAAACTCAGCTTCTGAGCTTGCTGCCATGGTTTTCTAAGGACTTTCCCAGGACAGGAACTGCAAACATAGATATGTGCACATTCTTTCTGTTCCACATCTTGTGATGGGCATCTCTCATGGCCAGTGCAGTGAGAAAGTCTTATCCTGACCATCCAATCCCTGACTGTGGGCAGAAGCCTATAAATCCTGGGAGGAAAAATAAACTCTCTCTTCCTTTCAGCACACCTCGACCTGTGTCCGTGTGATCTGTTCATCTTCAGCGGCAACAATAAACTTTAATCTGTAATGCCTAACTCTGACAGCCAAGAAAGCACCGAGTTTCACACAGCACCGTGGAGACAACTGTTAGGGTTAAGTAGAAAGGACTGAAAATGTGTGTGAATTAGGTTTCTTGAGTCACTGAGTGAATGGGTTGAAGTTTAGAGTTTAAACCAGTTTAGAGAGCAGAGGACAAGATGGAGGATTTAAGGTGTTGTCTCTTGTCCTTCTTTCTTCTCCATGTTCTTCTCCCAGGGGTTTTTGGGTGGTAGTAATTGGGTAAAAAATGCAGCAGTGCAGCACTCAGGTGTTGGGTCATTGGGTGAATAAGAAAAATAATTTAGTTGGCATCTGTTAATTGGGTAAATGGGACTAGTGGTCCCTGACCCTGAGCTCCACCCTCAAAGGGGGAGACCCTCGGAGGTTCTGTCCCTCAAAAACCCCTGCTCTGCCTCTGTTCAGGGCTCTCTGCTCTGGATCTGAGTTTGTTCCTGTGCTGAATAAATGGTTTCATGAACAGGAACCCGTCTTGCTGGTGTTCCATGCTGGTCCCCAGAACCCTGCAGCTTCCCTGGACGTGATCCTGAGGTTGTGGACTACAACAATCCCCACCTGGAACCACCACGGACATCTGGGGACTCAGCCTGGCCCTGCCCATTAAAGTCATGGAAATGCCAAGGACAGCTCAGGGTGTGCAGCCACACAGGGACACAAAACTGTCCCCAGCACAGCGGGGAGGACCCCCAGAGGAGACTGAGGTGACAAACCCATCGTCTGAGAGGACCTGAGGCTGATAATAAATGCAAGGAACACCCCAGAAGCTCCTTGAAGGGTTTTAAAGGTTCCATGTGACTTATGAGCTTGCACTGAACGAGAGAAGATGAGCTCCAGGCTCGGTGTGACGAACCAGGAGGATCCAGTGCCTGCATTTCCCTCCCACTGCCTCGAGGGCTGGACTTGATCATCTTAAAAATCTTTTCCGACCTTAACAATTCCGTGATTGCATGACCTTGTGGCTACTGCCAGTTCTGGGGGGTAAAAGTCCTGGAGAACCCGAGGAAAACAGCTGACTCAGCTGGAGGTGCTGCTTCCTTCACAGAATCGTGGAATGCTTTGGGATTCAGGACCACCCAGTTCCAACCTGTTGTAGTTGATAGCTTGAAATGTATATTTTCCCATCTTTTAGTTGTGATTTCTCCCCCAGCTTCTCTTTCTCCTGTTTACCTGGCGTCAAGTTCTCATGGTTACTGAAGTTTCTCTCCTCAGCCCCACGGCGAGAGGCCGGGTAGAGTAAAGAGAGGACCCCGCTGGCATTTCCAGCTGCTTGAAGTTTCTTTAGCCCAGGAAAGCACGGGGTTGGGAGAAGAGAACTCTTCTTTCCAACACGGAAGTTTGTAACTTTTTCCTGTCCCAGAATGCCTCTAAACTATGGAAGCTGAGAGGGCATGCTTACCTTGCCTTCCCTTTCTTTCCCCCCTGTGTTGCCAGGAAACCAGGCCCCCCCTCTCTCCCCCTCTGCCCCTCTGTATAGAATACTCCCACACCTTTGTGGGCATTTGAAGAAGTTGGTGTCTGTTATTTCTTATCTTGGTGTGTGTAACCTTGATTTGTAGAAAGTTTGTAAGATGTACTAACTGAGAAAAATAATTGGTTCTCTCTCTGATGTTCCCTCCCTCCGAGAAACCCTGTTAAAAGAGACCCCCCAAACCCCAAATCCTTTGTCTCTCATCCTTTGGATTCCCCTTCACAGAAATAAACTGTGGAATGCAAACCAGAGAGAGAGTCCCCCCCTGATTTCTTTACTCGCTCTATAGACTTGGATTCTTGAAGAAAATCAGTGAACCCCACAAACATATGCTGGCTCGAAACCAGAGTGAAAAGAAACCTCATCGCTGAGCTAGCGGGGCCACAGTCAAGAAGATTGAGTCACCAACCCCCTGCCATGGGAAGGGAAGCTCCCAGTGGCTGGAAGGCTCATCCCAAGGAGCAGCACGGAGATGTCACCCAGCAGAAGCCACCCCGGGGACTCCCACCCAACCTTGCCATGTGCTGTCTGCAGCCAACTGAACCATTTAATGCCATTTGTTTCCAAGGGAGAATTAACTCCCTACAAGGGCCTTTTTTGTTTGTAAATCACTGCCCTGGGAGTGCCAGGAGCTCAGATTGTTTTAATCACTGAGCCAGCCCCGTTTTGGCTTTCATTAGAGAGCAGTGACCCGGGGCAGGGCCAGCACTGCCAGGGCCAGCCGGTCCTGCCTGCCAGGGACTGCTGGGGGCCAGCAGGAACAGCCCTGAGGAGCCCTCACACCCTGGCAGCTCGTGGGGCAGGCATGGAAAAGCAAAATCTGGGATGTTCCTCCTGCTCTGGCACACGGAAGGTGTCAGGGTTCGTGTGAGATGTCACCTCGAAGTGAGCAAAGGAGGCTCAGGGGGAATTTCTGGCTCTGCACAAGTCCCTGGCAGGAGGGGACAGCCGGGGGGGATTTGGGATCTGCTCCCAGGGAACAGGGACAGGAGGAGAGGGAACGGCCTCAGGCTGGGCCAGGGGAGATTTAGGGAAAACTTCTCCACTAAAAGGGCTGTCCAGTCCTGGCCCAGCTGCCCAGGGCAGGGCTGGAGCGCCCATCCCTGCAGGGATTTAAAGCCCTGTGCAGGTGGCTCTTGGGGACATGGGCAGTGGTGGCCCTGGCACTGCTGGGGAACAGTTGGATTCCACGATCCTGGAGGGCTTCTCCAATTCCACAATTCCCTGATCTGTGGCTGGGTAAGCAATCAGTTAACAGAGCTGAAGGAAGTCTCAGCAGCCCCTTGCAAAGGAAGGAAGGGGGAAACAGAGGGATTATCCCTGATCCTCTTACCGGAGCGCTCGGTGGACACACTGCCGTGTCTGCTCGGGGACCTGGCCACCTCGGGGGCGTTGGCCACCAGGCTCAGGCTGGCAGAGGAGATGGTGCTGTCGGATCCCAGGGAGGTGCTGGACTGGGTCAGGGATGACTTGCGCAGTTTGCTCTTCAGGAAGAAACCCTTGACTTTGGATTTCTTGCCCCCGAGCTCGAAGTCATCCTCCATGTCCAGGGCTCCCATGCTGCTGGGGATGATGGCAGAGGCCGACTCCAGCTCGTATTTCTTCTTGCCCGTCACCTTGTCCTTCAGCTTGCCGAAGGGCGAGCGCGGCTTGTCCTTCACGGACAGGTCGAACATGCTGGCGGTGAGGCTGTTCCGGGTGAACTGGATGCTCACCAGGATCTCACCACGCTCCTTCTCCTTCTTCCCAGCCTTGGAGTGCAGCTTGTGCCACCTGCAGCCAGAGGGGAGGGAGAAGGAAAGGCCCTCTGTCATCTCCCAAGAGCCAGGAGAACTTTGGAGGAGATACTGGGAGAAAGCAGCAGGGCTGTCTGGCACAAGTTTCTCCAGGGAAAGGGCTGGAAAACACTGGAACTGCCCGGGAAGGTTTGGAATGTCCATCCCTGGAGGTGCCCAAGGAATGCCTGGGGTGGGAAAACGTTGGAACTGCCCGGGAAGGTTTGGAGTGCCCAACCCTGGAGGTGCCCAAGGAATGCCTGGGGTGGGAAAACGTTGGAACTGCCCGGGAAGGTTTGGAGTGCCCAACCCTGGAGGTGCCCAAGGAATGCCTGGGGTGGCACTCGGCGCTCTGGGCTGGGGACAAGGGGGGATCCAGCACAGGATCCATGGCTGGGAGGGCTTTTCCAGCCTCAGTGAGTCTAACCCAAGTGTTCCAGATTGCACTGACCCCCAAGTCAGAGACACAAACACCCCACACGGAGGTGGCACTCGGGACCTGACCCCTCCCTGATGCCCCTGCAGCTCCAGCCCTGGCAGACAGCACTCTGGTTTCCCAGGGAAAGCTGGGAGCTGTGTCCAGGAGGAGACAAAGCTGCTGGAATTTTGTGTTCCTGATTTAAATATCCCAGAGCCGGTGACTCAAGGGATCCTCTCAGCAGAGACTGACCCAGAACACCAAAGGAACTCAACAGCATCCATTAAATCAACTTTGTGCCAGACCTGCTGTGTCTCACTCCAGTAAAGATGCTCAGGTTCTCCTGGAAGTGTCCTTGCATCAAGTTCTTTCCAGGATGATGCATCCCAGGAGCTCTGTGCAGCTCCAGCCCAACACAACCCCTGATCCAGGGGCAATTCCCACGGCAGGCTCCTGCTGACAGCTCCAGGAGCCCATGTCCAGCACAAAGCTCCCACTGATTGATCCCAGAGGATCACTGGGAATGCTTCCCACTGTCCCACCCCACACACAGCCCCCAACACCAAAGCTGCCCATGGAAAGGGAAGAGCTTTGGAAAAGCCTCCAAACCATTCATGGCACAAGGCACAAACACCCCCAAGCTCCCTTGAGGCCCTGATGGTCCCACAGGGAATGGCCTGGCAGCTGGCAGGGCACGGAGCAGCCTCTGGAATGGGGTGGGAGAGGGGTCTGGATTCCTGCCAATGGGGCTGGGGACACACCCAGAGCCATCCTCTGGTTCTCCACTTGCACATCCCTGTGGGGCAGCACCAAACACAGGCCACGAGGGAACCATCCCTTCCCAAAAATCACTCCCTTCTCCCCACGGGGTGTTCCATCTCTGCCAATCCCAGGCACCACTTCCCACAGCTGCAGCAGCATGAGCAGGAATCCAGCACAGCCACGGCCCTGATCCCACCCAGATCCAAGCATTTAATGAATTTCTGATTAAAATTCCCCTTAACAAGGCACAAAGACATCTGCAGGCTCGGGACAGATCCTGTTTCTCCATGTTGTGCTTCTTGGGAGCAATGGGAGGTGAAGACACTTCTGACATGCATTAACGATTTCCAGAAAACAAAAATCCCAGTGGTGCCTTCATCCACTTGGAGAGTGAAGAGGGAAGAAAAAAAATAGGGAAGGAAAATGGGATGGGATGGGGAAAGGGAGAAAGGAGAAGGGAGAAGGGAGAAGGGAGAAGGGAGAGGGGAAAAGGGAGAGGGGAAAAGGGAGAAGGGAGAAGGGAGAAGGGAGAAGGGAGAAGGGAGAAGGGAGAAGGGAGAAGGGAGAAGGGAGAAGGGAGAAGGGAGAAGGGAGAAGGGAGAAGGGAGAAGGGAGAAGGGAGAAGGGAGAAGGGAGAAGGGAGAAGGGAGAAGGGAGAAGGGAGAAGGGAGAAGGGAGAAGGGAGAAGGGAGAAGGGAGAAGGGAGAAGGGAGAAGGGAGAAGGGAGAAGGGAGAAGGGAGAAGGGAGAAGGGAGAAGGGAGAAGGGAGAAGGGAGAAGGGAAAAGGGAAAAGGGAAAAGGGAAAAGGGTGGAGGCAGGTGTGACCATGGAACCACCAGGGTGAGGAAAAAACTGGAATTGTGTCCTCCAGGAGTTGCTGGATTTCTGCCAAGGAAGTTTTCACAGCCTGGATGAAGGAAGGAGCTGGGAGGCTTGGGAATGCTACACCCAGAAGTGTCCAAAGCCAGGCTGGACAGGGCTTGGAGGAACTGGGATAGTGGCAAGTGTCCCAGCCTGTGGGACTGGATGGGTTTTAAGGTCCCTTCCAACCCAATCCTGTCTGGGATCCTACAAAGGGGGCACAAAATCCCCTCATTCCCTGAAACATTCCCAGGTCCTTCACCACACAAAGTGCAGGAGGGACAGTGCCTGGGCACAGGCATGGAATTAAATCCCAGGGAATCCACTCCTATTCCCACCACTCACTTATCCCACCCCATCCAATGCCCACTGCAACACTGCCAGTGCTCAGGCTGTCAGAAAATATCCAGGCAGGAAAAAACAAATCCATGGAAAAAGGCAGCATTAACCCCTTAGAGCCAGGCACCAGCAACAAAAGCAGCCCAGAAGAGGCTGAGCCACTGCCAGGGAGCAGGAGCAGGAGCATCAGGAGGACACTTCCCGAAGGATTGGAGGGGAAAAGGCTGCCTGGAACACCCCACAGTGCATTGCTGTTCACTCTAATGCAGGAGCTGGAAGCAGCTCAGGAGGGAAGGGCTGCAGCAGCTGGGGAAGGAGAGACTGAGGGGCTGAATCACTGCACAGGAAAACAAAGAACTCCTGAAAGGAGCCTTTGTACTTTACATCATCCCGTGGAAAAAACCAGGGAGAATCTGGGTGGATTAACACAAGGAAAGGCAGGAGCTCCCCAGGAGGAGATGGAACAGCCTGGACATGTCCCTAGCACCTCCCATCTCATCCCATGGATCCCATCCCATCCCATGGATCCCATCCCATCCCATCCCAGCCCAGCCCAGCCCAGCCCCTCCAATCCTATCCCATGGATCCCATCCCATCCCACCCCATCCCATCCCATCCCATCCCATGGATCCCGTCCCATCCCATCCCATGGATCCCATCCCATGGATCCCATCCCACCCCACCCTGTGAGCATCAGAGGGAATTCAGGTGCTGAGCTTTTTGGAGCAGCTGCTGAAGGCAAGAGCTGTGCTGGGCTGGGATTCAGGAGCTATTTCTGGTTCCCCAGCCCTCATCCACAGTCGGGACCACACCTCCAACGGCAACGGGGCTATTTTTAGGCTGAGCTCTCAGTTCATGGCACAGGACGAGGGTTGGGAGGATTCAGCTGTTCCATGTCGTGTGTTTGGGTTTTTATGAATCAGCCCCAGTGGAAAGAGGAGGTGCAAACTGCTGGGATGGAGCAGGACAGAGGGATCGGGGAGGGATCAAGTCCCAAACAGCAACACACAAACTCCCACAGCAGCTTTTCACCATCAGCCCCATCCCACGGCCCTCGGTTTCCCAAATTCCTCCCAGGAGCTGCCCTCAGGGGGATCCTGGAAGGGGATTTCTGGATTGGGGCCACCCAAGGTCTCATCCTGGAGAGGGATACGACATTTTTATGGGAACAGAACACACCTGGAAAACAAACACAAACTCCTTTTTCCAGGTCTGAAGGAGCAGAACTGGGTCACATCAGTCAGAGCCTGGAGCGCAGGGGGATGGAGGGAACTGCACCAAGCACAGCCAGCCCCAGGATCCACAAAGATCTGCTGGATCTGGCATCCAGCTCCTCGCTGCACAGGACACCCAGGACAAGCCCCTCACCCCCAGCCCGCTCTGAGGGTCCCCAGCCCCATGCAGCCTTTGCTGTTACAAAACTGAAATTAAAATGAAGTTGAACTCTGCTCCAGAGCCGGAGCTGGTGGGGATCAGGAGCAGGATTGCTCCCAGCTGAGGAGCTGTGCCCCAGTCTGTGCTCCTTCCCTTGCTCCTGACAGCTGGAATGTGCTTCCCAGAGCATGGAACCTGCTGGATCAGCATCCTCTGCTCCGTGGGGAGCTGCTCCTGCCCCCAGCCCTGCCAGGTGATGGCCTGCTGACACATAGAGAGCTCAGGGACACCTCCAGGGTGACAAATCCAGGGAATGGAGAGCTCAGGGACACTCCCAGGGTGACAAATCCAGGGAATGGAGAGCTCAGGGACACTCCCAGGGTGACAAATCCAGGGAATGGAGAGCTCAGGGACACTCCCAGGGTGACAAATCCAGGGAATGGAGAGCTCAGGGACACTCCCAGGGTGACAAATCCAGGGAATGGAGAGCTCAGGGACACTCCCAGGGTGACAAATCCAGGGAATGGAGAGCTCAGGGACACTCCCAGGGTGACAAATCCAGGGAATGGAGAGCTCAGGGACACTCCCAGGGTGACAAATCCAGGGAATGGAGAGCTCAGGGACACTCCCAGGGTGACAAATCCAGGGAATGGAGAGCTCAGGGACACTCCCAGGGTGACAAATCCAGGGAATGGAGAGCTCAGGGACACCTCCAGAGTGACAAATCCAGGGAATGGAGAACCCAGGGACACCTCCAGAGTGACACATTTGGGAATGGAGAGCTCAGGGACACCCCAAGAGTGACACATTTGGGAATGGAGAACCCCGGGACACCTCCAGAGTGACAAATCCAGGGAATGCAGCCCCAGCCAGATGGAAGGCACAAGGCACAGGCTGGGGAAATTCGCTTTTGCTAACAAATGTGAATTGTTCCCTGTGACACTCCATGGATCCAACACTGCTGGGTGTGGATCCCCAAGGTGAGGAGCCCAGGATCTGTTTTCCATGCCCAAGGAAGGGCCTGGAGAGCAGCCCAGGGTGGCTGAGGGGGAAGGAAGCAGCGTTGCACCCCAGCTGGGCAGAGAGGAAACCTCAAAGAGAGAACTCCCAGGGAAGGGGAAGCTGCTGGAGGCCCTGTCAGCTCCAGGGAGGCTCCTGAGCTCAGAGGGGTCTGCAGCTCCCATTCCTGGGCTGTCTCGGGATCGGGGGCAGCCCCCTGTGGCAGAGGCTGCTCAGCCCCCACA